AGAAACAATCAGGCCAGATATGGCAGCCGTATTCAGTGCATTGACGACTGGTAGATTTGTAAATTTTAAAGATGGACTCAAACGATAACGAATATCTGGCACGACACAGTGAACTAACTTTCCTTACATTAGATGCAGCCATTCGTTCGATGCCGTTGCTCCACTTCAAGTCAGTTGAAAATGTGTGGCCAAGAAGGCTCTGTGTGTTACTATCCAGCAGTCTACAATCAGCCATACTGATAACAGACAAAGGTTTTCTCTATGGTTGTTAAATGAAAGGGGTTGTGTTTTGGCGTCGTTAAAATTTAAAAAAGATATTTCTTGCACTAGTGAAGCACTGACTGGAGGCCCTTTTCAAGAGCATCAGCCAGGTATACTTTGTCAGCTCTGACGGAATTGCTATTGAGACAGGAGTAAATGGTAGTGACATCTGCATAAATATATACTTGGGAACTGATGACATCAGGAATATCGTTGATGAAAATCATAAACATTGTAGGATCCAGGATATAAACTTTGGGCACATAGACGCTAGTGTGATAGGGTTCTGGAAACAAACTGTTTAACCGACCCTCATTTCACAATTTGTTAAAGAAAATTTACCCGAAAGTTGTGTTATTTAAACATGTTTTTCATTTCTTTGTAGAAACATTGATACATATTGAAAGACTAGGTCCATTATGTAACATTCTAATTAAGAAAAACTATTTACTGATAAAAAATAATTTACTAAGCGTGACTTAGATTTGGCACATTGCCACAATTGGTGAGAACCAAGCGAAGAGCAAACTCACTGCTCAGTCGTATTGGATTTACACAAGATAAGCTGGCTGAACTTTACGCCACATCGAAGTGCCAAGTAAGGGTGTTTGGTACAAAACGGCAAGCATGGAGAATCCAGTGAAGTCTAAACCCGCTTATCATAAAAGATCTACTGACACAAGCTTGTTAATCATTACACCATATCAAAGTAATTTTGCTTATACTATTGACAATAATACTCTGTATCAACAGGAATAGTTATGTATACTTTATGCTTAGTCATTTTATACGAATATGATTATTTATATTCACAACAATATTTACCATGTACAAGGCCCGAGAGTCACTCGACGTAGGAAGTTGCCGAGTCTCAGGCAGATTTTATGAGGATATGTATGCAATATAACGGTTAAGACTAATCTTGAATAGGTTAATTTTGAGTAATCGGGAAATCATCATTTTGGGAGTCGGTCCCATAATGTTGCGGTTCGTTGAAAGAAGCTATTCACCAATGGAATACAAAGAGAACAATGGTGGTACGCGACAATGAATGGCTTTCCGCTGTGAAGGTTAGAACTGAAGGAACTAATGAATGTAATTCGTCTGAACACATTCGAAATAGGAACAAAGGAGCGGGAGGCTTGCAACATGGCGCCTATAGGAAAGGGATTCACGGTCGAAAGTTATTCATCGCCTACAAGGAGGTGCGGACCCTTTTGGACTTTGCAAAGAAGGGAAATGGAAGTATGGGCGTCTCCTAATCCGATAAGGCAGAGTACTGCATATTTAGTTCTAGGATAGTCGGTGGTAGCAGGTACTTACTGAAGCGGTATAGGAAACTGTCCATTTTTTCAGCATCTTTAGCGATGGATCGTATGTACGAATATGGTCTGGGTTGAGCTTAAGTCACAAAAGGCGCTCAAGGAACTGGACCTCCCTGAGAGAGCACATGTTCATCGCGATAGGCAAAAGTTCAAAGACAGCTCGTTGATGATGGAACGTCATTCGTTTGGCTTTTAAGGCATTGAATGTGACAAGACAGTTTCTCCACCTAACTAGAAAAAGACATCAGCTGCCAAATAGCTCCAATCGCGTAATTCTTGGATAGTCTATTTCAGTATGATTCGGTATATTCCGGAACGAATTAAAATGGGCTTCTACAACGGTAACTGATATACTATTTCTGCCGCCATCAATATTAATCTGTCGGCTATGTGATATGCGTGTATCGTTTTATACCTCACTGACGAGGCTGATTTTTTCAGCAGTGGGTTGTCATTTCTTTCTGCAGTAGACCAGTTGCAATCCAAGTCTATGGAACCCGGACTGTCTTGCTATTTACCCTGGTGGCAGAAGAAGATAATCCATACCTTTCCCAAGGGTATTAGCACGTAAGTGATTATAATTCGACTGGGATTCGAAATCCGAGCCGCTATCCATTACACCACCGTGCCTCCATCAATATAAATATGGAACTGATTTTTGGAGGTTTCTCGGGCTATTATCCTTTTATTCATTGGTATTAGCATTGTGGTCTAAAGCGTGTGTTAATCAGGTGCTCAAAACATCCAGAAGATTACAATTGCTAGCAATCTTCAAGAACATCATTCTTTCATTATTATATATATATATATATATATATATATATATATATATATATATATATATATATATATATGTAGTTAAGTTATGAAAAACTTGGTAATCTTTTTATATATATATATATATATATATATAT